AGTGGGGTCAGCTGCAAAGGCCTCCTCGTCAACCTCCAATAGGTCATGGACAACAAAACGGTTGCTGCCTCTAAACCTCCCGCGGCCTGTAGGCTTTTTGCCGCCTGGTGTGGAAACGAGGTCTTGTGCCTCGAGGCTGATTACATCCCGCATGAGGGAAAGCCAACTCGTGTATCCAATGAGATCTTTGCCTAGGCAATGTGTCAAAGTAGTGGGAACCGTACCTTTTACAACATCCAAGCATGACTGTGCAGTCATTTCCAACCCGGGTGTAGCAAAAAGTTTGTTAACATACAGTTGCAGGTTGTGCATGGTGCTCGACCACTTGCTGCGCTTGATATCATCAAGCCTTTTTCGGACTCTTGCAGCAACATGTGGGTCCTAAGTCCATGGTGTTGTAGAGGTCAGTCACTGCGTGCACAGTGATCACCTGGAGCAGTAGGCCGTGGGTGTCGTGGAATATGAGACCACCTCCCATCCCATCCTCACGTCAATACTCCTAGCGCAACCCCTATCCCACTATCCTACCTCAGTGTGACCAACACTCAGGACCATTACCCTACCAATGGGCAGGTAACTTGGACATAATAGCAGTGATAGGCACCAGGGCTGATAGGTTGCCCAACCCTGGTGGAAGCGGAATTGGGCGAGTCTTGTCGAACGGGAACTTCAGATGCCAGACCCAGACAATCTACTACAGGCCCCAAGAGACTCTGGGCCCAAGGTTCAGATAGGGTAGCATCCATTGAAGCAGTCTTACCGTTCTTCCCTTAGCTTACCCAAGGCCAGGTGGAACTCGAACTAGCCTGAGCGACTTATACCCCTTCCCTTACCCTAGGGTATAAGCCTTATATAGCCACTAGACAGTTCTATCCGAATATCAGTAGGGACTCCGACAGCCCTTACCTGTACCTACTGTAGATACTAGACCCCACCCAGTGACTAGACCCCCCCGAGTCTGATAGTTGTGTAGTTCGCAATCTATATGTATACCCGAAGGTTGTGTATGCGTCGTGTATCTATGTATCAAGATGTACAAACAGCACCATGTGTGGAAACTTGTGTATGTAGCCCGTAGGCCATGTATAATTTGCAAGCTATGTATATGCCCGAAGGTTGTGTGTGCTCTGTGAATCAAGATGTACAGACAACACCATGTGTGGAAACTTGTGTATGTAGCCCGTAGGCCATGTATAATTTGCAAGCTATGTATATGCCCGAAGGCTGTGTGTGCTCTGTGAATCAGTGTATCGAGATGTATAGGCAGCATCATGTGTATGCATCGAAGAGAGAACGGGGTAAGATGGACAAGGACCCCCCCAAGGTACGAACCAAGCTCGAACGCGTGACCTTGTAACATGTAATCGAATGACTCTACCATGTGAACGACTAACGAAAATGGCACAAACGTCTAATATGCCAAACTGGGGAGATCAATAGAACACCCAATACCAACACCCCCAAGCAACCTATGTGAAACCCAGAACCAGCATACAACACCATGAACAATCCTTGGGTGGTGCACAAGCAGTGTCTGCAATAGTACCATGTGTCAGCCCAAGGGAGTGTATGTCCAGCTGTGCGTCAGTCTAACGCCCTGCCGGTGTCCATGCGCAAGGTTGGAATTGAGTTTTGAACCCGCAACCTCATACCACAATGCGGATTTCAAACCGGTGCTCTAACCACTGAGCCACATCAACTGGACAGCATGTGGGTCCTTATATTGCTTCATCAATATCTCTTCAAGTGTGGCCAGTGGTGTGGTTTTGAGCCACTGTGTCAGATCGATCTTAGTCTACCGGGCTTGCATAGCTTGGACTTCTAAGAAGCCCGGTACGGTGGGCTTGATGTTTGTCCCCATGATCAAGGACTAGCTCAAAAGTTGAGTTCCCAACACCTTGAAGTAGGCTCTCATGGAGCTTATCCAGGACTCACGTCTTCCTTGCCATCGTACGTAGACGGTATTTGTACTGCCTTTCTGTCGACATAGAGACTGCTATAATCGGCACCAGCAAATGCCGTTTCTGAACTTGTGGCTGCAACAGTTGCAGAAATCCCTGCGCTGTCACTTGTTGCAGCGACAGTGGGTCTGCACCTACTGCAAGTCCCGATTGAACCACACTTAGAGAAGAAGAAGTAGAGGCATGAAGAGGAGCAAGGACAAATTGGTTAGCAGCATTGGAGGCAGGAGGTAGAGGAAGAGAATTAGGAATCTGGGCCTGATGCAGATTTGCCATCTGCCGCATCTGATCACTATGCTCCTTGGCCATATCCGTAAACAGTTTACTCATCTGGTCAAACAGTTTATAGATCTGACCAGGAAGTTCACTGAGCATGTGACAATTGATGAGAGCATGCACATATGTGACCATCTCTCTCTCTCTCTCTCTCTCTCTCTCTCTCTCTCTCTCTTGTTTTTGTCCACGAGTATCTACACACATCGAAACATGAACTCAGAAAAAGAAACAAACTAAAAAGCTCAAAGAAGAAAAGGTAGAACTCCTAGCTGGCGCGGGTATTACATTTGGACTAGAGAGCAACTAAAAAAATAATATAAAAAAATAATTAAGATGAGAGTCCTGATCCAGCGTCTCATCCTGATCAGACCGAATATGAGATCCTTTCGAGCCCAATCTGAAAAGTTCCGTGGACGCACAGCAAATTCAGACACCGAGTAACGACATGCAACAATGGAGAATTGAGTGGTGTATAAGGTGCAAGTCAAGCCACGGACTGTGCGGTAAAGGTACACAAAATGTCTCAGCCGAGGTCCCCTCGGCAGCGAGTGCTCTAACCAAAGAGTAAAACTCTGTCCCCCAAACAAAAGGAGAATGGTCTGACGTCAAATAGATTTGGGCCTAAGGGGCCCTTTTTGCTTGGGCCTGCTCCCACTGGGTACCCAAAAGGTCCCAAGTAGGCCGTGCTGAGTCCCAACCAAGAAGAGTCCCGCATGGACCTACTTTCTGCCTCTACCGAACTAGAAAACGAATTTCAACTTCAGAGAGAACCTACAATCTACATCCGTTCAGAGGCAAAAAGACAATGCACTGTAGAAAGATATGGCGTCCAAAGCAAGATACCTCATCTCTTCATCCATCAGGTAAGAAAGCAGTTTGCTTACTCTTACACATAATCAAGACCATAGAGGAGTAGGAAAAGAGACCCAGAATAACCCCAACAAGACAATCAATACCATGCACACACAAACATGGGCATCCCTTAGGTGCACGGCACTTACCTGAGTGGCCTGAGCTTCGAGATGAATAGAACTCATCCCCCTCTCATATGGTCCTCCTGACCCCTTTAACGCTACCCCTACACTAGTGTCCTATCTACTAGGAGGGTCTGACTCCAACACCAAAGTGCAACGCTGGATCCCCTGCCGATGCTGAAGATCAAAGTAGCAACTTGCAGTCCGTAGATGCCAAATGGCTACCTCCCTCAAGCTCGCCTACTTGAGGGGGGCCCTAAAGTTGCCAAGTGTCTCCCTTAGGTCATATTCCAGGTGCAAGTGCCTCTCACTGTTGCCTCTCCCAAATTGTTGCATAGAGTCTTCTCGAAGTGTCTTGCCGCTCCAAACTTACTTTCAAGCAACCTGGTCAGGTCCAGTGTCGACCCAACACGACCTAACCAGGTGGGGGCAGCTTCCCTCTACCACGCTGCCCCCACACGACCCAACACGACCCAGTGTCGACCCAACACGACCTACCTGCTACTCGAGCGTTTTTCCCTTCCTACCCTAAGTGTCGTGGGCCTACTCCCCGCTACGAGTGTTTTCCCCGCTGCAACGCAAGCATTGGGCCCACGGGCCTCACAACACACAAGTGCCCTGTCGGGCCACACGCACACTCAAGCAGACGTGCACTCAGACAGGCACACGGGCCAGCAAGCACATACACACACACAGACTTAGAAAACTCAGCACGACGCGGGAGTCGTTCCAGCGCCAAATCCCATAAATCAGCAGTGTTCTCAGTCGGTTTTTTGGCGGGTCATTACCTTTTTTTTTTTTTTTTTTTTTGTGTCAATAGAGTCGAATAGACTCGATACTGTGTAACTTAGTTTTTCACTTTTTTTGTGCTAATGCTGTGTAAACTTTTTTTTTTTTTCTTCTATGGATGCTTCAGTTTTTTTTCCTTTTTTTTTTTCTATGAATGCTTCCTTGATACTTTGTAACTCAGTTTGTTTCTTTGGTGGCTTTGCTGATACTGTGCAACTTTTTTTTGTGGACGTTTCGTCAATACTGTGTAACTCAGTTTTCAATTGATGGACGTTTCATTAATATTGTGTACCTCAGTTTTCTTTTTGTGGCGTTTCGTCAATACTGTGGAACTCAGTTTTCTTTTGGTGGATGCTTCATTGATACCTTGTAACTTAGTTTTGTTTGTTTGTGGATGCTTCGGCTATATGTGGACGCTTCAGCTAATTGTGTAACTTTGTTTTTTATTTTTTTTTGTGGATGCTTCGACTTTACTCTGCAACTTAGTTTCTTTTGTGGATGCTTCAGGCATACTGTGTAACTTAGTTTTTGGTGCTTCCGCTATACTGTGTAACTTAGTTTCTTTTGTGGATGCTTTTGGTGCTTTGGCTATACTGTGTAACTTAGTTTTTTTGTGCATGCTTCGGCTATACTGTGTAACTTAGTTTTTTTGTGCATGCTTTGTCGATACTGTGTAGGTAGTTGTCCTAAGTTCTCTTCTATGTCGTATTTTTGTGTGCATGCGTTGTCGATACTGTATCTATAGTTAATGGTCTTTACGTACCCATCTATGTTACTTTGGTAAGGGGGATGCAAGGAACAGAAATCACTTATGGTTATGGGTTATACTTAAGTTTGGGCGGCTGCGTTTTCAAATGGTGGTGTTTCAGAGGTTTGACAAGTCGGGGGCCTCCATGTTGACGGCGATCTGTGCAAGAAGGGAGACTTGAGGGTGTACCGCAAGAAAGGAAGAAAGGAAGGGTAATATGGCGAAGCATCATCCTGATCTGATCATGTGCAGAAAGCAGCCGGGCATCGCAATTGGCCGGCTCTGTGAGAAGTGCGATGGGAAATGTGTGATATGTGATTCTTATGTGCGGCCGTGTACACTTGTGCGAATTTGTGATGAGTGCAATTACGGGTCGTACCAGGGAAGATGCGTCATATGCGGGGGTCAAGGAATCTCCGATGCCTATTATTGCAAGGAGTGCACACAGCAAGAGAAAGATAGAGATGGATGTCCAAAAATCGTCAACCTTGGCAGCGCAAAGACGGATCTCTTCTACGAGAGGAAAAAATATGGCTTCAAGAAAAGATAGTACAAATAGTGACACCGTCCGCACTGTTGCTGGCTGTTTGCGAGGTGCGGAGCAATCGCAGCTGGGGGCTTTTAGGGGCGGATGGATGGTTGTGGAGAGGAAGGACGCCTGCTCTTCTCTTCCATATTCTGTGGCCTCCCTCGTCCTGTGAACTGCATTCTCCTCAGAGCCATTGCCATAGCCATAGACCATAATTGGCTTGTTTCTCTGACAGACTCGATGCTGCGTAGTATCCGCTTGTCAGCAGCTGATGATGGGTACAAGATTGGCGGCATACAGTCCCAATTTGCGGCGTACGATCCCAATTGACGGCATACAGATCCCAATTGGTGGCATACGGTCCCAATTGGGGGCATACGGTCCCAATTGGGGGCATACGGTACCAATCTGGTCTCCTCTCGATTTTGTTCACAATAAAGAAGATTGGGGGCATACAGTCCCAATTTGGTCTCCTCTCGAGCATCAGCTGCTGACCTGTGGTCGGGCCTGTTCGGGTGGACCCCGTGCCACTTGGAGCTAGGAAGAGAAAACCTTGACAATGTCCAGTTTTGATCATCCTTAGACCTATGGTTGGACCTATTCTGGTGGACCTTCATGTTGTTTGGACCTAGGAACAGGAGTTTGTCAAGCGTTGACTGTCCTTGGACCTGTTGTTGCATTTTGTTTGGGTGGACCTCTTTGTCATTTGGACCTAGAAGCAGAGAATTTTGTCCATGTTTGACTGTACTGGGACCTGGGGATGTCCCTCTTTGGGTGGCTTTCTTTGCCCAAGTTTGAACTTCCTTGGACCTGTGGTTAGTCTTCGGATGGACCTCTTTGTCATTTAGAGAATTTTGGACCTAGGAACAGTGAAACTCGGTCCAGGTTTGACTGCCGTTGAACCCGTGGTTGGGCATGTTCGGATGGACATTCATGGTGTTCGGACCGGCCAAGAGGGAGGAGCTTCAACATGGTTGGACCAAGGAACAGTGGCTGGTTGCAGCAATGTATCAGGGAATGATCTTTGGATGCACTTGTGGCTCAGGAGCAGGTTTCCCAGGAACTATGGCCACGTGCAAGTCCGTCGAGTTACGTTCTCAATCGACCGGGATACACTGGTCTTCAGTCGCTCCAGCACAAACTTAAGATTGTGCTTGAAATGATACACAAAACGTTTTGAAGAGAAGAGTTTTCACAGCTAGCACAGCATCTACTGGGCATTAGGAAGTGAGATCAGCAGCTATACTGGGCTTGCAATGTGAAATCAGCTGTTACTGGGAGTTGGGGTGTGTGAAGTCAGCTATTTGGGTGTTAAAGTGTGAAATCAGCAGCTATTCGGCGTTAGGGCCTGAAGTCGGCTATTGGGTGTTAGGGCGTGAAATCGGCTATTGGGCCTTAGGAGAACATTCTTCTAACTTACTTGCCGTTATGGTGTGAAATCGTTCGAGATGGGAAACATTTTTTGGTCAAGCATTAGATGAGAACTGTGCTGCTGCTGCTGCTGCGTACAGAGTCTTAACGTTGTCTCAGTGTATGCATCCAAACGGAGCTTGCCGTGGGGCTGGGTTACTGTTTCCAGCGCATTTCCTTGTGGGTTTCTCAAATGTGGGATGGATTATGGCTTGATTTATCTTTCTGAAAATCTACTCTGCAATCAGCGGAGCTCTAAACAAGTGTGCCTTTGTGACAATAACTCCTTAGAACTGTCGAACCCCGAACTCCTAGATGGCAGTCTATGCTTGGTTTCAGACTATGGTTGGTCCACATAATGCTGGACTGGTCAGTTTGCTTGTGTGCACTTATCATCTCTCTCTCTCTCTCTCTCTCTCTCTCTCTCTCTCTCTCTCTCTCTCTCTCTCTCTCTCTCTCTCTCTCT